CGATCGGCTCGACGGTGCTCTACACCACGATCTCGATGTGGCTCTCTTCCACGGTCTTCAGTGGGAAGACCACGCTCCCTCCTCGAGAGCTGACTTGGGCGGTTCGGGTCACCTCCTTGAGGCCCACGCCGTCGGCGCGACCTATCGCGCTCCCTCTCACGCGGAGGCATGAATCGCGCTCGGAGGCGCGAGGCAACGAGTGAAGTTCAAACAAAGTATGTGTTCTCTCTTCACTCAACTCAATGTTCAAGTCACACCTTAGTGCTATGTCAGTGTTTCGTATGCCAAGCTTGACACGATGCTATGTGTATGGTCTCGTTTTTCAACCAATGGTCTCCTTGTAGCTCTTGCGGCTGATAACCAGTTGAAACTCTGAAACCTGGCTTTTCCTATGCAAAGGCAGCGGACGATACGACGATCGACATGCAACGCGACCCTTGCACCTTTTCCAAGTCCTTGAGCCAAACGTTGTTGGCAAGATGTCTTTCAGTTCACAACGGCAATGCTACTGTAGCATACCGATTCCAGACTATGCAACTCTTTACATGGTGATTCAAACCTAGGACAAAGTGGTCCAGAAATGCTACATGACGTAAGTCAACCATGCATCTAGATTCCTCCTACCACACTATACGTGTAAGCATACAAGCCTCACTCAAAGCTCAGTTCATCTGGAGGTTGTTTTAGCTGAGGGATTTCATCTCTATCAGTATAAAATAACTTGGACTGGAATAGTGGGTATCGCCACCTCCGCCTTCGAACTACCCCACTGCTTGCCCATCCGCCTCGGGTTCGGACACAAGCTTTTTCATGACGACTACCAGGGCTGCTAGGCCTTTGCATCAATTGATCCTGTGATGAGGCTCCAGCGAGCTCGAATGATCGGGGCGGGGCACTGCCTTCGAATGATCATAGCGTCCTTGTTACTAGTCCTCCTACTAGCGTCTTTGCTCTTAGTAGCGATGCCCTTTGCTCCTAGTGGCATCCTCTACCTGTTCAAACCCCATAATCCTTCCTTGATTTGTTCATTCACTGGTGCCGTATGGGAAGAAAAGATCCCCGTGCAAGTTGGCATATGTTGAAGTGATGGTGTTGAGCATCTTGAGTAACTGTGCAAAAACATGCAACAGTATCTGCAGTCAAAAGTCGGTAGTGAAACTGTAGCTCAGACACGGGTGTTTGGAAAGCATTTGGTAGAGGACAAATGGCTTGAATCCGTGATTTCATCCTATTATCTTTAACACAAAGCCAGATTGGATTGTTTCTTGGGCAGCCGGTGATGTATGTAAAAGGCCGTGGCCACGTTTCACTCATCTTATTATCTAAGTGGGCCTCCGCCTTGGCATCTGGAACCGGTTGACAAATCTTGTGCAGCGGCCTTACAGCTTGTAACCTGTCTTCGTGCTTGCAGGAAAATGCGAATGACCCTCAAAGAAACCGATCGTTTTTGTCAACAAAGGGATTCCTCTACCCCTCCCTGCGCGCGCGCGCGAAAAAGCTCCTAGTAGCTTCTCGCTTCTAGTAGTACGGCCAGGAGCCCCTAGTAGCTTCTTGTTCCTAGCAGCGATGCCCTTTGCTCCTAGCGTCCTTGACCTCAAATCATGCACTGGTGGGGCCCGATTCTCTGGACCCATACTCGGTTCCATGTGGCCCATCACGTACCCGAGATCCAAACAGTTTCACCTCTCCCCGTCCGGCCTCCATCAACGCGGCTATCTGGAGAATCTTCGAAGGACTGCGCGCCAACCGCAGAACATCTTTACGTGAAAAATAGTCTGAGATCATTTACTCTCTGAGAAGCCTTGTTCAGTTGAGTTTCAGTTTGTGGATTTGGCTCTTGCAGCGGGGTCATATGCCATTTGACGAGTCTCTCCTTTTTGTCCAAGACGTTACATGTGGGCAACATATCATCCACATACGGCGAGTGTCTTCTTTCACAGCAACGGGTTGCCTGGCCAGGAGCTACTCTGAAGTGTGAAATGCATATACTAATATAGTTATATATAGTTGGTTATTAGGTCACTTTATTGTTTTTGCCGGAACTGTACATCACCTGAAACATAAGTCGTGTCTTTTTTGTCGCATGTCCTCTCCTCATATCCTGGCTCACACTCCACTGATTTGCCTGGAGTGGTATACCGCTGTACACTATATGCCTTCAAATTGTATAATTACCAGAGTGGAACGTCCCCCCCGCCAGGAAACTTCACAGAAACCTTGGACTTGACTGGAGGAGGAGATTCCGCGACAAATATTCTTTGACTCGCCTACCTCTCTGAGTTCCGTCACGGCGCAGGGATGCGCAGGGTGTACGGTGTTGGACGGGGTATGCATCGAATTTGCAAAGTTGCCCTGTGAAGCAGAGCAAGGAAGGCACTTCAGGCCAAAACAGCCGGAGCAACAACATTCGACAAAAAAGGGCACAAGCAAAACAACGTTCAACCCTTCCAAACCTCACAGAGACTCTCAATAAGCTCGAGATTTGCAGCCTTGGACACAGCAGTTCCCCCCTGACCCCTGTCGCCCTCGTCTCGACCATCCGCTCCTTCAGGATTGTTTGCTTCTCAGCCATTGAAGCCTCGCTGAAGTAGTGGATCCACTTGTAGAGCAATGCCTGGAGGGCAAATCTTGTTGGGACATCAATCAATACCAGTCAAATCCGGGAGCCAACACCAACATCTCAGATTGAGACCCCTAACTCTGAGATATTACTAGGAGCAAGGGCATCGCTACTGGGGGCTCCTGGCCTTACTAAAGGACGCTACTAGGAACAAAGGGCATCACTACTAGGAGCAAGAGGACGCTACTAGTAGCTGATCAAAGTTTTGTGTTGAACGTTTCCTTAAGCTGCTTAAGGTAGTGACTGCATGTTGCTATGTGCTCCATCCCAGCCATGCACCCCGGCTGAAAAGATGATGCTCAAGCCCATGATTTGAAGCTTGGTGATCGCATGGTCATACCTCATGCGATTTGAGACCCTGTCTGCTCAGGTGCCACAACTCTGTGAAGGTGCCTTATAAGCCTTATCATGTGAGGGGGTTCTCAATATCCTCCCCTGTAATGAGTCATTGCTTCGGCCTAGACAACATCATTGCTTCAGCACGCATGTAACTGCCTTAACAAAAAACACAAAAATAACCAAACAATGCCCGGCTCTGAAGATAGAGCAGGCCCTTTTTGGAAAACAAGGGTTGAATTCAGTAAAGAATAGGAACAGCTTGGTTGTCACAATCACTCAATCAGGGTTTGGATGGCTTGGAGCCTGCAAACCTTTCACAGTAGGAATGCCCGGAATGCCACACTGTCCAGCATAAAACACAGTTGGTAGAACTAGTTACCTGAATCTTGTCGCTAAATACCCTAAATTCTCTTGGACGAAATCGAATTTCTGAGGTACAGATCGAACCAGGTCAGACTTGTTCGACTGTATACCGTCGTACAGGTCATGGGAGCACGCACCGTTCGTGTGTCGTTCGCCAACCAAAATGCAATACGTCCTATCCGTTCGTGTGTCTCTCCCAAGGATCTCACAGCAAATAGGAGGAAATGATCGCACAAACCTGGCTGTGAACCCGGTGAACCCCCAAATCGTCGAACGATCTTGGAAATGCAATACGGGATTCATAAACTTACCGCGTTGGGATGTGGAAATTGGACTGGTGAGTATCTGTTTAGCCTTGTAGTTAGTGTCTGTAATACATTTAAGGCGATTGTCTCCTCATGTCCAAAGTAACCCAAACGCATGATGTTGTCTATACCAACCCGTGTAGGGCCAAAGAATGGTATCCTAGTAATGGCGTCTATCAGGTCAGGGGTCCACGTGATAGGGCAGCCCCAGTGATATTGATGTTCACCATGTTTTTTGACCAACAACTTGCCCCGTTCATCTTTTTCTAGGGCGTTCAGTGCCGCCGGTGCAGTAAGGGTCCTTGTGAGATCTTGCCAGATTAGTGCTCCTTGGTTGTGAAAACAGAAAAGCAAAGAAGAAGGCCATGTATATAGATGGCTCGTGCGCAAAGGCCTTGTCATGCCTTGTCACCAGGGCTGAAACCCACAGCATCGAAGTAATCTCTCGAAATGTCCTATGGACAGCTCAACTGTAGACCTCTAGCCACTCAGTGTCAAAGGTCTTAGTCTTAGACTTAACTACCCCTTGCCACAAACAAGAACATTTTATGTTCATTCATTTTCCGTCTCTACCGACCCCGTGCAAGTTGGTGGTTCTTGTAGGACTTTTGATGGGAGAACTCTTCCCCTCCGATCTCGCCATGGCCCCCCGAAAAGCTCCCACCTGGCGGATGTTCATGGTCACGGCCATCGCCAAGGCCCCAAACTCCTGGACCTGCACCAGTGCAGCCGCGCAGACACCCATGACATCCCATGACCGATTTGAGGTGCAAAGGTTACTGTGGAATCTCTACGGCAAAGAACCTAAAAGTACCGTGTCTAAAGGGATGACAAGTCATTAAAAGTGTGAAGATTGAAGACTCCAGGATGACCCTTTGATAGTATCTAAACGGAAGCGACCAAAAACGTTTTTGATTACTGTATGAGATCCTTTCCTCGATTGCAAAGCATGCAATGCAGTTCACAAACGATAATTGCACCCCAACCAGCCCAAAGTCAGCCTGTTTCAGTTTCGGGTCGCTTCCCATTCATGTCCGTATTCGAAACATGTCAAGCTCCTATAGCTCGTCGTGGATTTAGAGCTGTATCGCAACGGACAGGGAGGCTCCCACTCTGGCCCATTCAAAATACCCCTTTGGCTGATCATCAGACTCTAGAGATCTCTAAAAGTCTCTCAACTCTAGACACTTGGTCTCCACAAATAGATCTCACACCTGGATTTCCACCAACAGCCTCCTCGGTTGAGTCCAAAGCAAAGCAAACGACCAGTGCATACCAGTGGCAGTTGAAAAGATTGTGAGTGATGATTCATGCTTTGGACAAAACACTTGAATTTCGTGATCAGTCTGTGTACCTTCCGAACTTTTTCAATAGACTTGTGCCTCCCATCAAGCTTCGAGAGTCTACTTTGGCCAGAAAACGGATTCGCGAACCTTTGGCAAATCCGACGCCAGTGGCGCAAGCTTTGTGATTTTGAAAGCTTGAAACCTGTCTACACCTATATAATCCAAGCCTACCGTCTCTTTTGAATATATACCGTATGGTTATGTATTTGTTCTCTAACTCACCCTCTCTCATTGATATAGAACTGTACAAATATCAAATGAGAAAAATATGCAGCTAGAGAGTTGATCCTGGAAAGGTCTGAAGAATTGTGGCCACGCAGCCAACAAACATGTCTAACTAACCGGCAAATTCCTTTCTACCACGCTGTGAGGAGACAACACCTGTGCTCTTGGTGAAACAATATGTGGCAGTGCAGACTTGATGACTATCAGTCCTCAGAGAATGGTCTAATTCCAAGACGAAGGCTACTACATAACACAGAGACGCTGTTGGCCAAAAGTAGGGCGGGCCCTGAACCCGATCGGATCTCATGCTCGCTGTATTCACGAAAATGATCGTTCTTAATCTTCAAAGCCCAGGGAGGGTAGGCCGTAAGACGACCTACTTGACGCAGGATAGTTCATGCTTCTTCTTTGAAGAAGCGCTCGCACTAATCAATTCGGTTCCAAACTTTTAATGGAAACTTAATGCGGGGACCTCAACCAGCGAGATCTCTTCTTCAGCTAAGTCCATGGAGCTTCACGAGTTGCCCGTTGGACTCTCAGACGCTCAGGTCATCAAGGGCTGAGTCAGCATCTTCGGCCCATTCGCCTTGGCCTCTTTCACCTCGTTCCGCCATGGATTTCCCCGTTCCATCTGAGGATTTCCCCGTCTGGAGTCTGCTGAGTCTGCTGAGTCCTACCTTTGATCATACCATGTTCCGATCATAGTCAAATCATAGAGTCATATCGAAGCCCCACGGTGAAGGGCCTGTATACAAGCAGTTCCCGGGCAAGCCGGCGGCGGAAGTTTCCTATAAGAACACATTGACCTATAGGGGTGCCCACGTTCTCTCCACCATGCGTGTCCCTCGCGTCCCTCACTCAGCCAAACGCACGCGCTCCGGACTTTTGACACACACACACACACACAGCGCCACCTGTGCAAGGTCTGTGCTCCCTGCAGGGTCAGCAGCTCACAACAGCGTACTGGGTTGTGTCTATGCCAAAGCAAGATTACCAGCCCACACCGGCGTGCTGAAGCAACTGGGCATCTGCAAGCGAAAGTTAAGTGCAGCTGGTGCGGGCACGCGAAGTGGGTGGTGTTTTCAAAGTCAAAATCATGTCTTCCAACATTTGGTGTGCTCCTCCGCGCAAAAACAACGAAACTGTTCCTCATCGGGGCAAGGCAAGCGAGAGATGTATGATGAGTTTTGTATGATGAGGGGTGTATGACGAGTGGTGTGTGCTGAGTGGTGTATGTTGAGTGGTGTATGATCAGTGGTGTATGAAGAGTGGTGTGTGATGAGTGGCGAATGATGAGTAGTGTATGATGAGTGGTGTATTGACCAGCAGCTGAATGTCCTGTCATGCATAAATGCAACCAAATAATTACTGTCAGTATGAACTGTGCCAAACCTGTACGCCGCGAGAGATAACTCAGGCGCGAGAGATGAGCCAGCCGCGAGAGATGACTCAGCAGCAAGAGATGACTCAGCGGCGAGAGATGACTCAGCAGCGAGAGATGACTCAGCAATGAGAGATGACTCAGCGGCGAGAGATGACTCAGCAGCGAGAGATGACTCAGCGGCGAGAGATGACTCAGCGGCGAGAGATGACTCATCAGCAGTGAGAGATGACTCAGCAGCGAGAGATGACTCAGCAGCGAGAGATGACTCAGCAGTGAGAGATGACTCAGCAGTGAGAGATGACTCAGCAGTGAGAGATGACTCATCCGCGTACTCAAGTTGTACTACAAAGTCACCAGTTCTCAGCTTCTAGCTGCACAGATTGCTCCGCGTACTAAAGTTGTACTACAAAGTCGCCAGTTCTCATCGTCCAGCTTGCCAGATACTCCGCGTACTAAAGTTGTACTACAATGTCGCCAGTTCTCA